CACCTGCCTGGGTATTTTGTACCATCGGACACTCCACCCCCACAACTCCCAATCGGTGATGGGGCAGTTGTGGAGAGAGTGGAGAGTTTCCCATACCTGGGTAGTGTGCTTATGACTGGCTCCAGTTTAACAGCAGAGGTCTCACTCCGAATCAGTCGAGCGGCAATATCTTTTCATCGGTTGCGTAACGCTGTGTGGAAGCTACCTGGTCTGTCGCTCCGCACTAAGCTTCAGGTCTTCTCGGCCACGGTCATTCCCTCCCTTCTCTACGCTTGCGAAACGTGGACCCCCCTAATGGAACATCTTCGCCGGTTAGAAACATTTAGGCTGGCCTGCCTACGATCCATCCTGGGTTTAACCAGACTGGATTGTGTGAGGAGCTCACAAATCCTTGAAAGATCTGGGCAAGGTCCCATCGGTGAGCTCCTCCGGCGGGCAAGGCTGCGATGGCTGGGTCATGTAGCCCGCATGCCCAGCCAACGCATGCCGAAACAGCTTTTGTTCGGCCGGATTGAGGGGGCTAAGCGGGCGCGGCACGGGCTAGAGAAGAGATGGAGTGATGTGGTACGGGAGGACGCGGAGCTGAGTGGACTTGCCGATGACTGGTACCAGCGGTGTCAAGATCGACCTCTGTGGAGGAGGCTCGTGAAGGACGCTACTGGGCAGTTGGAGGTAGTCGCCCTCCAACAACAACGGAGGGCGGAGGAGCGATGCTCACAACAACGAGCGGAGCTCCGGGTGGCTAAAGCACAGCAGGTTGGCACAGTAGGGGGCACAGGTGGTGCATCAGCCAGTCATCTCAGTCAGTCGACCCCTGGCACCTGGGTCTGCCCCGTGACCTCCTGCCAGCGGGCGTTCGACACTTCACGTGGCCTCAGGGTGCACATAGCCTGGCACAAGCGTCGTGGTGACGTCACCGCCACTTAGTGGCGAATGGCGGTTGTTGTTGTTGTGTGTGTGTATCTGTGTGTGTGTGTATCTGTGTGTATCTGTGTGTGTGTATCTGTGTGTGTGTATCTGTGTGTGTGTTTGTGTGTGTATCTGTGTGTGTATCTGTGTGTGTGTATCTGTGTGTGTATCTGTGTGTGTATGTATCTGTATGTATCTGTGTGTGTGTCTATCTGTGTGTGTGTGTGTATCTGTGTGTGTATCTGTGTGTGTGTATCTGTGTGTGTATCTGTGTGTGTATCTGTGTGTGTCTGTGTGTATGCATCTGTGTGTGTATGTGTGTGTGTATGCATCTGTGTGTGTGTATCTGTGTGTGTGTCTGTGTATGTGTATCTGTGTATGTGTGTGTATCTGTGTGTGTGTGGGGAGCGGTAGTGTAGTGGTTAGTGCCACGCCGCGCCACGAACCCCGCGACCCGAGTTCGATTCCCGCTCACGGCCACCACCGGTGACGATTATTTTTTACCGGTTCTGGGCCTCCCCTAGGTCGACTCAGCATCAATCGAGTAACTGGTGCGGTGTGTGAACATCGCCACTGGGGAGACAAATGCGGCCGGGCGTGGTGAATCCACGTCCCGGGCGAAGCCGGGTAGTACAGCTAGTATATTATAAGAGCCAAGTTTGTTTGCATGGCCACCACAAGTACCGTGCGTGGTTAATGCAGTAACTTAATCCCTTACAAAAAGGTTTCTATTTGGTGTTTGAGCATCTTAACACAAATCCTACCGTTCCATTGCTGCACAGTAAGGTTAAGACACCGATTGTTATTTCATTCATACTTTGATACTGGCCAAAAAAAGGTCCCATTTGGACGCGAAAACGTCGTCAAAACCGTGGGCAATTTCAAGATTCTCATCGGTGAGCTTCGAAGGGGATCCCTTTCCCGGGGAATGTGCCACTTGGCCGCACTGCAAGGCGCCTTGCAAGGGGTAAGGTGACGTCCGTGTGTTCCTGAGCTGTTTGGGCGCCATTAAAGCGCTCGTGGAGAAGCGCGAAGCCTGTCCCGAGCTATTGGAGGTCGAAGAGAGAGGGAGACGGAGAGAGAGACAGAGAGGGGGAGGGAGATGGAGAGAGATTTCTGGCTCTTGACCAGGAAAAGGCTTTTGACAGAGTGGACCACAAATACCTGCTGGGAACCCTCAAGACCTTTGGTTTTGGGGATGCCTTTGTCCGAACGATCCGCCTTCTCTACACGTGGCCTCAACGTGCACCTTATGGTTGTTATTGTTGTTGGCTTGTACCACATTGTGATTTTTGCACACAGCGTTTTAATAAGTTTTTTTCGCGTGGAATATTTGCTGGTTGAATTCTAGGATGTTTCTGTTGCGCGTCGTCGCTTTAATATGTTCTGTATTCATATTTTGTTTGTTGCAGTTGCACCCGACTTAAGAGCCGCATGGCTCACAGGGCTATACCTAATAAATGAAACTTGAAACTTGAAACCAAGGCGGAGTGCATGATCAAGATCAACGGCGCCCTCACTGCCCCGGTCAAATTCGAGCGAGGAGTGAGACAGGGATGCCCATTGTCGGGCCAACTTTATGCCCTGGCATTAGAGCCTTTCCTGAGTCTCATAAGGCAGAGACTCAGCGGCCTGGTGCTCAGGGAACCAAGCGTCAAGTTGGTCCTAACGGCATACGCCGACGACGTCCTCCTCATCCTGCGCTCCCTGGATGATGTCGCCCTGCTGCATGAGTGCCACGAGGTCTTTTTGAAAACTTCCCCATCAAAAATGAACTGGCAAAAGTGCAGCCGCCTGCTGGTTGGAGCGTAGGACGTGACCGAGTGTCCCGAGAAGGCAAAAGCCATCAATTCGAGCACAACATCGCTGCACCACCTGCGAGTGTTCCTCGGACCAGAGGAGGAACCACCGCAGAGGAACTGGGTCGAGCTGGAGGAGAAGGAGCGGCTGGGCACCCGGAGTCGCCTGTGCAAGTTCCTCACCTTCAGGACAAAGACGTTGGTGGTGAACCAGCTGGTGACGTCCATGCTGTGGCACCGGCTTTTCTCCCTGCACCCCCCCATGAGCCTCGTCAACGCACTTCAGAAGCGAGTCCTCGACTTCTTCTGGTCAGGCGGAGGACACCGGAATCGCGGCCGGGGCCCTGGCCCTGCCACTGGACGAGGGCAGTCACGGGCCGTTGTGCGTGCGGAGTCGGCTGGCCACCTTCCGACTGCAAGGCCGCGCAAAAGTTCCCGCACCACGCCGCCCCGGCACCGGCCTGGAGCGTCACGGCCTCCTTCCTCCTGAAACAGCTGGGGGGGGAGGGGGGGGGTCTGCAGTGCTCCAAGCAACTATTCTACATGGACCTGCAGGGCCTCCCACTGGGGCAAGCTGCCACCCTTCTACAGGGAGCGTCCTGCAGACGTGGAGCTCCCTCGCCGTTAGGAGGCTGAACCAACCGCGATCGGCCGAGGATCTGGTCTTCGAACCGATCCTCAGGAACCCCGCAGACAAAGCTGCCATCCGTCACCGCCGCCACCCCCGGCATGGAGAGGCGCCTCGCCAACGCGCGGCTCACCAGGACGGGAGATCTGGTGGAGCCTGAAACACGGGGCCGGTGGCTCGGACCAGCAGACATGGCCGCAAAGACAGGGCTGCAGTCGCTCCGGGTGGCTGCCCGGATCCTGGCCGAAGCCAAGGGGGCCTTCTCAGCGGCAGCGATGGGGAGAACGCCCCCCCATCAGCGTTGGGGATGACGAGGCCCCTCTTGGTCCCCCTCCACCGGAGCTCTCATTTGCGCCAATGCCGACAAACGAAGGCGGATCACAACCTATGCCGGCTGGAAGACCTGCCGGAGGTGGCCTTCGCAAATGTAAAGAGGAAGGTGCTCTACTCCTGCATGGTCCGGTTTCACCAACAGGACAACCTGAGGAGCCACAAGGACCACGCCGGGAGGAAAGCCCTAGCCCTGCATCTCTCCAGAGAGGCCTCTCTGGAGGCAACTCTACCCCAGCCCGACGTACAACCGCATCGGCGACCTCGGCTGGAGCATCGCCCACGGCACCGTCACCAACAATGCCTCCCTGGCGCGCTTCACCGACACGTCCCCGGAGTGTTGGTTCTGCGGTAAAGTGGAGACGGTGGCGCACCAATACGTGGAGTGCAAGAGCCTGGACTCGCTGTTCAAGGTCCTGAGAAACATCCTCCTAAGGTTCAGCCTCCACTTCTCCCCGACGGTCCTCATCTTTGGATACCCGAAGGGCGACGGACCCCAACACCTTCAGGGGCTGGTCAACGTGCTCGTCGGCTATGCCAAGCTCGCCATATACAGGGCGAGGAAGGTGGCCGTGGAGGGGAAACGTCCAGCCAGCAGCCTGGGCATCTTCCGCGCTCTGGTCGGAGCCAGGGTGTGGCTGGAGTTCCGCCATGCGTGGCTGACCCACGCCGTGCCGGCCTTCAAGGAGCAGTGGGCGCTGGAGGAGGGCCGTGTGCTCGGTGGCAGATGATGGAGAGCTCTGCATGCAGATCTGAGCTACCCGTCGGAGGCCGTTTGACTATGGGAAGGGCTGCGTGCAGATGCAGCACTTGTCGTAGTTATAAAAAAAAGAGAGCGAGAGAGTGAGCGAGAGAGAGCAAAATGGAGTAGGAAGAGAGGGGGCAGAGAGAGAGGGGGGGCAGAGAGGGGGGGTAGAGAGAGAGGAGGGGCAGAGAGGGGGGTAGAGAGAGAGGGAAGGGGTAAGGAGAGCAGAAAAAAAAAGAAAAATATATTTTGTTGGGTCTTTTATTTAAAAGGGGGGGGGGGGGGTTACATAAAGCAAAGCAAAAAAAACAAGAAAAAACCGAAATGATGAACGGAGCAAAGTGCCGACTACACCGAGCATCTTCTTGTTTCCTCTAATCGTAAACAAAAAAGAGAGAGACAGAGAGAGACAGAGAGAGAGATGGAGACAGAGAGACAGAGAGAGAGACAGAGAGAGACAGAGACAGAGAGGGAGAGGGAGATGGAGAGAGACACGGAGAGAAAGGGACAGAGAGACACACACATGAAGACAGAGACACGTGGAGAGGTTCTCGCTTGGCGCGATGGAGGAGGGGGTCTTGGCTCTGCGTCACCGCGAGGCTTCGACGGGGGCCCGGTGCGCGCTGCTGCTGCCGCTGCTGCGTGGGTACGCGAGTGCCGTGCGCAGCCCCTCCAGCGCCGCCTGGGCCCTCTCCGCGAGGCCTTCGAGGGCCTCAACCGCCGCTCGCTCTTCCGCACTGACGCCGCCGCCGCGGCCGCCACCGCGCTCCGTCTCCTGTCCGCGGGGGGGGGGGGGGGGGGGACGGGGACATTGGGGCTCTGCAAGCCTGGCAAGTGGGCGATGTTGAATAATCCGGGACCGTTCCCGGCACAATGAGGAGGAGGGGGGGGGGGGAGATGCCCCTGTAGTTGTTACGAATCTGTGGCGGCCCCCCCACCCCCCTCTCACCAGGGGGCATCCTTACAATCCTGCGGTCCAGACGGTTGTGATGATGTCACGTAGGGCAGTCTGCGCACAGACGCCACCCTCCCTCAGCATTTCGCTTGGGAGATCGTCTCTGCCCGGCGCTTTTTCCTGGTCTCAGACTCCGGATCGCCCCACGCACTTCCTCCGCAGACGGCACCTCGGCCGCCCACTCGGGAGGGGGTTGGCTACTTCTGCCGATATTTGAGGCATCGCGGCCCTAGCAGGGTCGTCCCAACCTCCACCCGCGATGTCGTCTGGGCTGAGGGATTTCCCCTCCCTCAGGACCTCGCAGAATTGCTCTTGGCCTTGGCTGCAAGTAACTTTTTTGATGTAATTAAAGAGTGATTTGTGATAGTGGGCTATTGAGGCAGTCTCCATCTCCTCAGCAACCCGCGACCACCACCCATCCTTGCAGCACCTCACGGCTCTCCGAACCTCCGAGCGAAGGCTGCGGTAAGCCTCCTCATTCTCTGACGTGGGATGCTGTAGACGATGAGAGTGGGCCTGTCGCTTTTCTCAGCCGGCATTAACACCTCCTCTGTCAGCAAGGGTCTCTGGGGAGGTCTGGACCACGTACCCAAAGCAGCCATTGCAGCTGCATGAGCCACAGTCCTAGACCTCGCCCATTTCCAAAGGCATCAGACGGAGTGGGGGACGATGCCAACCCCAGCTGCAAGCGATGATGAAATTCTCACATCCAATATTCATCAGCTAGCTGAGACCAGGCCACCGTGGATTTGAATGGGGTCCTGGGTGTACACCCACCACCAGAGTGGAAGAATGGCAGGCGCATCTTACAGAGGACTGCTACACTACCGCTCACGGGGCAGACCCAGGTGCCACGGGTCGACTGACTGAGATGACTGGCTGATGCACCACCTGTGCCCCTTACTGTGCCAACCTGCTGTGCTTTAGCCACCCGGCGCTCTGCTCATTGTTCTGAGCGTCGCTCCTCCGCCCTCCGTTGTTGTTGGAGGGCGACTACCTCCAACTGCCCAGTAGCATCCTTCACGAGCCTCCTCCACAGAGGCCGATCTTGACACCGCTGGTACCAGTCATCGGCAAGTCCACTCAGCTCCACGTCCTCCTGTACCACATCACTCCATCTCTTCTCTAGCCCGTGCCGCGCCCGCTTAGCCCCCTCAATCCGGCCGAACAAAAGCTGTTTCGGCATGCGGTGGCTGGGCATGCGGGCTACATGACCCAGCCATCGCAGCCTTGCCCGCCGGAGGAGCTCACCGATGGGACCTTGCCCAGATCTTTCAAGGATTTGTGAGCTCCTCACACAATCCAGTCTGGTTAAACCCAGGATGGATCGTAGGCAGGCCAGCCTAAATGTTTCTAACCGGCGAAGATGTTCCATTAGGGGGGTCCACGTTTCGCAAGCATAGAGAAGAGAGGGAATGACCGTGGCTGAGAAGACCAGAAGCTTAGTGCGGAGCGACAGACCAGGTAGCTTCCACACAGCGTTATGCAACCGATGAAAAGATATTGCCACTCGACTGATTCGGAGTGAGACCTCTGCTGTTACACTGGAGCCAGTTATAAGCACACTGCCCAGGTATGGGAAACTCTTCACTCTCTCCACAACTGCCCCATCACCGATTGGGAGTTGTGGGGGTGGAGTGTCCGATGGTACAAAATACCCAGGCAGGTGCTTAGTTTTGGTGGGGCTGATGGTAAGGCCCCACCTCTTAGTGGCACGCTCCAGTCTCAGCAGCAGCGTCTCCAACTCCTCCTCTGACTGAGCAGCTATTACCAAATCATCAGCATACATAACGTGGTTGAGCAATAGGGAGCCATCCCTTGACCGCACCCGGGCATCGATCAGCCTCCCATTATATCTGTACCATATGGAGATTCCCCCGGTACAGCTATTGAAGGCTTCACGAACTACGTGGTCAAAATAGATGTTAAATAAAGTGGGAGCCAGAGGACATCCCTGTCGCACCCCAAGGTGTACAGGGAATGGCTCTGACTCCCGGCCACGTAGTTTTACCCGGGCCCGCTCACCATCATGAAGGTCCTTAATGATCGTGAGCAGAGGGTCAGGTACTCCAAAAGCACGAAGAACGACCCAGAGCCCAGGCCTACTGATGGTATCATAGGCCTTGACCAGGTCAATAAAGTAGAGATGTAGGTCTTGTTGGAATTCCCTACACCTCTGCTGTAGCAGACGGACAGAAAATATGGCATTTGTGCAGGACCGCCCTTTCCTGAAATCGCATTGGGGCTCCGCAAGCCTCTCCTCAGCGTGCCTGGCAAGGCGATGCTGAATAATCCTTGCCAGGACCTTTCCCGGCACACTGAGGAGTGAGATACCCCTGTAGTTGTTACAGTCTGTTGTGGTCCCCCTTCTTAAAGAGGGGGACCACCAGGGCATCCTTCCAATCCTGCGGAACCCGTCCAGTGGTCCAGACCGTTGTTATGATGTCATATAGGGCAGTCTGTGCACAAACGCCACCCTCCCTCAGCATTTCGCTTGGGAGATCATCTCTGCCCGCTGCCTTTCCTGGTCTCAGACTCCGGATCGCCTTCAGTACTTCCTCAACAGATGGCACCTCAGCCAGCCACTCACAGGGGGTGACTTCTTCCAATATTTGAGGCACCGCAGCCTCAGCAGGGTCATCCACACTTTGTGCCACGATGTTTTCCTGGCTGAGGGATTTTCCCTCCCCCAGGACCTCACAGAAATGCTCAGCAAATCTGCAAACCTGTTCCTGGGGGTCGGAGATTGGATCACCGTTTTTTCCCCTAATGATGGTAATAGGTGTGGCGCTGCAGGTTACTTTTTTGATGGAGTTAAATAGAGATTTGTGATTACGGGCCACTGAGGCAGACTCCATCTCCTCAGCAACCCGCGACCACCACCCATCCTTGCAGCGCCTCACGGCTCTCCGAACCTCCGAGCGAAGGCTGCGGTAAGCCTCCTCATTCTCTGACGTGGGATTCTGTAGCCGATGACAGTGGGCCTGTCGCTTTTTCTCAACCATCCTGAACACCTCCTCTGTCAGCCAGGGTCTCTGGGGAGGTCTGGACCGTGTACCCAAAGCAGCCATTGCAGCTGCATGAGTCACAGTCCTAAACCTCGCCCATTTACCCTCGACATCAGGAGAAGTCGGGGACGATGCCAATCCCAGCCGCAAGCGATGATGAAATTCTCGCTTGCAACTTTCATCAGATAACTGAGACCAGGCCACTTTAGGTCAGAATGGGGTCCTGGGTGTACACCCACCACCGGAGTGGAAAAATGGCAGGCGCATCTTACAGATGACTAGTTGATGGTCAGAGGGCAGATCAGTTCCACGGTAGGTCCTGGTGTCAAGGACATGGGCTCGCATCCACTGGTCCGTCACTATGTAGTCCAGCAGATGTTCTTGCTTGGACCAGGCATGCATCCATGATGTTGTGTGGATGCGCCGATGCCGGAACAGCGTGTTGGTAATTACAAGCCCATGGGCTGCACAAAAATCTAGCAGCCTCCTACCGTTGTTATTGACCTGATCTGGCCCATGCCCTCCAATCACTCCAGACCAGGTGCCAGTATCATGACCAACTCGGGCATTAAAGTCACCCAACATGATGACTCTATCCCGAGGGGCCACTTTAGTCAGCGCCTGTGACAGGAGGTCATAGAAGGCATCTGACTCATCGGCTTTGCCTGCATCCCTCCACGGATGTTCATCTTCGGTGGGGGCATAAGTAACCACGACCACCATTCCTCGCCTCCGGTTGATGGGAAGGCGAGCCCAAAGTAGCCTGGGGCTTACAGCTTCCCACACCTCACCGCCACGCTCCCACGCCCCCTTCATTATTTTGTTCAAAAGAAGAGCCACACCCTGTTGTTTGGCAGTCTGCTGCCCCGAGTAGAGGACTGTCCACCCCTCATGGTGGCAGGAGCCAGAGCCGGTCCACCGGACCTCCTGAATGCCGCATAGATCCAGGCGGTACCGTTCCAGCTCAGGACAGAGGAGTGGCAGCCTCTCCTCCGCAGTGAGCGTTCGAACATTCCACGTGGTCACCCGTAGTGGCTTTTCGTTGTTTCTGGAGGAGCCCCGAGGGTAGATATTCAATCTCCTGGCTCCGCCAATTGGGGTTTGGCCAGGAGACGTCATAGACGCCTGGCCCCCCGGGGCCTCTGGCACAAGCTTATTAGTTACATATTTCAGTTTAACTCGTGGTTTCGTGGTAATTAATTGAAGGTGGAGGGGTTACCAGCCCCTCGCACCCGTTTAGAGCCCCCGTTTAGCCCCGGTGGTGGTGGACACATATGCCATGAGGGGAGGAGCCAATCAAAATTGGATCTCCCCCCACAGCACGGTCCACGACAGAGTTGCCTGTCCGGCACCGCGAGGAGGTAGGGGGTTGTTTTGCCGGACACATACACACACACACATACACACACACATACACGCACGCACGCACGACCCTCCTTACCTCCGGCGCGTGGCCCACGTTGAATCGCGCCACGCGGCCGCCGGCGCCGTAGCAGAGCAGCACGCGGTGGGACGCCACCACGCGCACTCCCACACCGGGGCACAGCGCCGCACACAGCGGCCGCCCCACGGCACCGCCGCCGGCACTTCCGCCGGGCCCGTGGTCCCAGAGCCAGCGCAGCGTGCGCTCTCCCGTGGCCTCGCTGTGGCATGAGCCGCCATGCACCGTGAGCACAAACCTGGCCGAGGTGGGGGTGGGGGGTGGGGGGGGTCGTGGAGGGTCAGACAGCCCGTGGGTGGTGGTGGTGGTGGTGACTGCATACAGCAGAGAGGGTGTGGACTAATCTCCGTCTGTTCCATCTCACTGCCTTCTACACCCGTGGGAGGACTAATCTGCATCTGTTCCATCTCACTGCCTTCTACCCCGTGTGTGGACTAATCTGCATCTGTTCCATCTCACTGCCTTCTACACCCGTGGGAGGACGAATCGGCATCTGTTCCATCTCACTGCCTTCTAAACCCGTGGGTGGACGAATCTCCATCTGTTCCATCTCACTGTCTTCTACACCCGTGGGTGGACGAATCTCCATCTGTTCCATCTCACTGCCTTCTACACCCGTGGGAGGACAAATCTCCATCTGTTACTTCTCACTCCATTCTACACCCGTGTGTGGGCTAATCTCCATCTGTTCCATCTCACTGCCTTCTAAACCCGTGGGAGGACGAATCTCCATCTGTTCCATCTCACTGCCTTCTACACCCCGTGGGTGGACTAATCTCCACCTGTTCCATCTCACTGCCTTCTACACCCATGGCTGGACGAATCTCCATCTGTTCCATCTCACTGCCTTCTACACCCGTGGGAGGACGAATCTCCATCTGTTCCATCTCACTGCCTTCTACACCCGTGGGTGGACTAATCTCCATCTGTTCCATCTCACTGCCTTCTACACCCGTGGGAGGACTAATCTCCATCTGTTCCATCTCCCTCCCTTCTACCCCGTGGGTGGACTAATCTCCATCTGTTCCATCTCACTGCCTTCTACACCCGTGGGTGGGCTAATCTCCATCTGTTCCATCTCACTGCCTTCTACACCTGTGGGAGGACGAAACTCCATCTGTTCCATCTCACTGCCTTCTACACCCGTGTATGGACTAATCTCCATCTGTTCCATCTCACTGCCTTCTACACCCGTGGGTGGGCTAATCTCCATCTGTTCCATCTCACTGCCTTCTACACCCGTGGGTGGGCTAATCTCCATCTGTTCCATCTCACTGCCTTCTACACCTGTGGGAGGACGAAACTCCATCTGTTCCATCTCACTGCCTTCTACACCCGTGTGTGGACTAATCTCCATCTGTTCCATCTCACTGCCTTCTACACCCGTGGGTGGGTTAATCTCCATCTGTTCCATCTCACTGCCTTCTACACCCGTGGGAGGACGAACCTCTATCTGTTCCATCTCACTCCCTTCTACCCGTGTGTGGGTGAGTGGGCGAATGAATGAGTGGACAAGTTAGTGGGTGAGTGGGTGTGTAAGTGGGTGGGTGAGTGAGTGAGTGGGTGAGTGGGTGCACGGGTGGGTGAGTGGTTGGGCGAGTGGGTGAGTGAACGAGTGGACGGGTGAATAGGTGAGTAGGTGAGTGGGTGGGTGAAGTGAGTGGGTGAATGGGTGGGTGGGAGAGTAGGTGGGCGGGTGAGTGAGCGGGTGAGTGGGTGGGTAAGTGGGTTGGTGAGTGAGTGGGTGAGTGAACGAGTGGACGGGTGAGTGAACGAGTGGACGAGTGAGTGGGTGAGTGGGTGGGTGGGTGAGTGGGTGAGTAGGTGGGCGGGTTAGTGAGCGAGTGAGTGGGTGGGTGAGTAAGTGGGTGCATGGGTGGGTGAGTGCGTGGGCGGGTGAGTGAAGGAGTGGACGAGTGAGTGGGTTAGTGGGTGGGTGAAGTGAGTGGATGAGTGGGTGGGTGAGTAAGTGGGTGCATGGGTGGGTGAGTGCGTGGGCGGGTGAGTGAAGGAGTGGACGAGTGAGTGGGTTAGTGGGTGGGTGAAGTGAGTGGGTGAGTGGGTAGGTGAGTAAGTGGGTGCATGGATGGGTGAGTAGGTAGGCGGGTGAGTGAATGAGTGGACGAGTGCGTGGGTGGGTGGACGGGTGAGTGAGTTAAAGAGTGGACGAGTGAGTGGGTGAGTGAGTGGGTGAGTGAGTAAATGAGTGGACGAGTTAATTGGGGTGCGTGGGTGGGCGAGCGAGTGGGTGTGCAGGTGAGTGGGTGAACGAGTGGGATAGCAATTGATTCAGTGGTAGAACGAGTGGGCGAGCGGACCGGCAAGCGAGTGGGAGAGCGAGTGGGAGAGCGGGTGGGCGAGCGAGTGGGCAAGCGAGTGGGAGAGCGAGTGGGAGAGCGAGTGGGGAGCGAGTGGGCGAGCGAGTGGGAGAGCGAGTGGGACAGCGAGTGGGCGAGCGGGTGGGAGAGCGAGTGGGAGAGCAAGTGGGAGAGCGAGTGGGCGAGCGAGTGGGAGAGCGAGTGGGACAGCGAGTGGGCGAGCGGGTGGGAGAGCGAGTGGGAGAGCGAGTGACCGAGCGAGTGGGCGAGCGAGTGGGCGAGCGTGTGGGCGAGCGTGTGGGAGAGCAGATGGGTGAGCGAGTGGGCGAGCGAGTGGGTGAGCGAGTGACCGAGCGAGTGGGAGAGCGAGTGGGTGAACGAGTGACCGAGCGAGTGACCGAGCGAGCGAGTGGGCGAGCGAGTGACCGAGTGAGTGGGCGAGCGAGTGACCGAGCGAGCGAGCGGGCGAGCGAGTGACCGAGTGAGTGGGCGAGTGACTGAGCGAGCGAGTGGGAGAGCCGGTGGGCGAGTGGGCGAGCCGAGCGATCACCTGGGCGCGCCGCCCGGGTAGAGGCAGACGCTGGTGCCGCCGGGGTTGAAGACGGCGCCCACGCCGGCTCTCTCGGCGTCTGCCAGCACCACGCAGCAGCCCCAGCGCCGCCGCCGCCGGCTGCCCCCGACGCCGCCGCCGCCGTCGCTGGGGCCGCTGCCGCGGCGGTGGCGGCCGGCAAACAGCACGGCGAGGCGGCCCGACGGGTGACTGTGGGTGGGTCAAGGGGCAACGCGCTGCGCACGGTGTGACACTACACACGGTGTGACGCTACACACCGTATGACGCTACACACGGTGTGACGCTCACTACACATGGTGTGACGCTCACTACACATGGTGTGACACTACACACGGTATGATGCTCGCTACACACGGTGTGACGCTACACACCGTGTGACGCTACAGACGGTGTGACGCTACACACGGTGTGACAGTACACACAGTATGACGCTCACTACACACGGTGTGACACTACACACGGTGTGACGCTCGCTACTCACGGTATGACGCTACACACGGTGTGATACTACACACGGTATGACGCTCGCTACGCACGGTGTGACGCTCGCTACACACGGTGTGACGCTGGCGGGGGGTGAAAGGTCACCGCAGGTGCCCCGTGCCGTCAGGGAGCAGCGTGAGGAACGGGCGGCCATCTGGGAAGCAACGGAGCAGCAAGCCGGCCTGCAGCACACCAACAGCATACCACTCACTCACCACTTACTCACCACTCACTCACCACTTACTCATCACTCACTCACCACTTACTCACCACTTACCACTCACTCACCACTCACTCACCACTCACTCACTCACCAATCACTCACCGCTTACTCACCACTTACTCACCACTCACTCACCACTCACCACTTACTCACCACTTACTCACCACTCACTCACCACTTACTCACCACTTACTCACCACTCACTCACCACTCATCACTTACTCACCACTTACTCACCACTCACTCACCACTTACTCACCACTCACTCACCACTCACTCACCACTTACTCACTCACCACTCACTCACCACTCACTCACCACTTACTCACCACTCACCACTTACTCACCACTCACTCACCACTTACTCACCACTCACTCACCACTTACTCACCACTCACTCACCACTTACTCACCACTTACCACTCACTCACCACTCACCACTTACTCACCACTCACTCACCACTCACTCACCACTCACTCACTCACCAATCACTCACCGCTTACTCAGCACTCACTCACCACTCACCACTTACTCACCACTTACTCACCACTCACTCACCACTTACTCACCACTCACTCACCACTTACTCACCACTTACTCACCACTCACTCACCACTTACTCACCACTCACTCACTCACTCACCACTCACTCACTTACTTACCACTCACTCACCACCCACTCACTCACTCACCACTCACAACTCATACTCACTCACCACTCACTCATCACTCACTCACCACTTACTCACCACTTACTCACCACTCACTCACCACTCACCACTCACTCACCACTTACTTACCACTTACTCACCACTCACTCACCACTTACTCACCACTCACTCACCACTCACTCACCACTTACCACTCACTCAACACTCACTCAACACTTAATCAACACTCACCACTAACTCACCACTTACTCACCACTCACTCACCACTCACTCATTCACCACTCACTCACCACTCACTCACCACTTACTCACCACTTACTCATTCACTCACCACTTACTCACTCACTCACCACTCACTCACTCACTGACCACTCACTCACTCACTCACCACTCACTCACAGCACACTCACCACTCACTCACAGCACACTCACCACTCAAAAACACTCACTCACCACTCACTCACCACACACTCACAGCACACTCACCACTCACTCACCACTCACTCACAGCACACTCACTCACTCACTCACCACTCACTCACCCCTCACCACTCACTCACTCACTCACCACTCACTCACTCACCACTCACTCACCACTCACTCACCACTCACTCACTCACCACTCACTCACCATTCACTCACCACTCACTCACCATTCACTCACCACTCACTCACCACTCACTCACTCACTCACCACTCACTCACAGCACACTCACCACTCACTCACCACTCACTCACCACTCACTCACTCACCACTCACCACTCACTCACCACTTACTTACCACTTACTCACCACTCACTCACCACTTACTCACCACTCACTCACCACTCACTCACCACTTACTCACCACTCACTCAACACTCACTCAACACTTAATCAACACTCACCACTAACTCACCACTTACTCACCACTCACTCACCACTCACTCATTCACCACTCACTCACCACTCACTCACCACTTACTCACCACTTACTCATTCACTCACCACTCACTCACCATTCACTCACCACTCACTCACTCACTCACCACTCACCACTTACTCACCACTTACTCACCACTCACTCACCACTTACTCACCACTCACTCACCACTTACTCACCACTTACTCACCACTCACTCACCACTTACTCACCACTCACTCACTCACTCACCACTCACTCACTTACTTACCACTCACTCACCACCCACTCACTCACTTACTCACCACTCACAACTCATACTCACTCACCACTCACTCATCACTCACTCACCACTTACTCACCACTTACTCACCACTCACTCACCACTCACTCACCACTTACTTACCACTTACTCACCACTCACTCACCACTTACTCACCACTCACTCACCACTCACTCACCACTTACCACTCACTCAACACTCACTCAACACTTAATCAACACTCACCACTAACTCACCACTTACTCACCACTCACTCACCACTCACTCATTCACCACTCACTCACCACTCACTCACCACTTACTCACCACTTACTCATTCACTCACCACTTACTCACTCACTCACCACTCACTCACTCACTGACCACTCACTCACTCACTCACCACTCACTCACAGCACACTCACCACTCACTCACAGCACACTCACCACTCAAAAACACTCACTCACCACTCACTCACCACACACTCACAGCACACTCACCACTCACTCACCACTCACTCACAGCACACTCACTCACTCACTCACCACTCACTCACCCCTCACCACTCACTCACTCACCACTCACTCACTCACTCACCACTCACTCACCACTCACTCACCACTCACTCACTCACCACTCACTCACCATTCACTCACCACTCACTCACCATTCACTCACCACTCACTCACTCACTCACCACTCACTCACAGCACACTCACCACTCACTCACCACTCACTCACCACTCACTCACAGCACACTCACCACTCACTCACCACTCACTCACCATTCACTCACCACTCACTCACCACTCACTCACTACTCACCACTCACTCACCACTCACTCACTCACTGACCACTCACTCACTCACCACTCACTCACAGCACACTCACCACTCACCACTCACTCACAGCACACTCACCACTCACTCACCACTCACCACACACTCACAGCACACTCACTACTCACTCACCACTCACTCACAGCACACTCACTCACTCACCACTCACTCACTCACTCACCCCTCACCACTCACTCACTCACCACTCACTCACTCACCACTCACTCACCACTCACTCACTCACTCACCACTCACTCACTCACCACTCACTCACCACTCACCACTCACTCACCATTCACTCACCACTCACTCACCATTCACTCACCACTCACTCACCACTCACTCACTCACTCACCACTCACTCACAGCACACTCACCACTCACTCACCACTCACTCACCACTCACTCACTCACCACTCACCACTCACTCACCACTTACTTACCACTTACTCACCACTCACTCACCACTTACTCACCACTCACTCACCACTCACTCACCACTTACTCACCACTCACTCAACACTCACTCAACACTTAATCAACACTCACCACTAACTCACCACTTACTCACCACTCACTCACCACTCACTCATTCACCACTCACTCACCACTCACTCACCACTTACTCACCACTTACTCATTCACTCACCACTTACTCACTCACTCACCACTCACTCACTCACTGACCACTCACTCACTCACTCACCACTCACTCACAGCACACTCACCACTCACTCACAGCACACTCACCACTCACTCACCACTCACTCACCACTCAAAAACACTCACTCACCACTCACTCACCACACACTCACAGCACACTCACCACTCACTCACCACTCACTCACAGCACACTCACTCACTCACTCACCACTCACTCACCCCTCACCACTCACTCACTCACTCACCACTCACTCACTCACCACTCACTCACCACTCACTCACCACTCACTCACTCACCACTCACTCACCATTCACTCACCACTCACTCACCATTCACTCACCACTCACTCACCACTCACTCACTCACTCACCACTCACTCACAGCACACTCACCACTCACTCACCACTCACTCACTCACCACTCACCACTCACTCACCACTTACTTACCACTTACTCACCACTCACTCACCACTTACTCACCACTCACTCACCACTCACTCACCACTTACTCACCACTCACTCAACACTCACTCAACACTTAATCAACACTCACCACTCACTCACCACTTACTCACTCACTCACCACTCACTCACTCACTGACCACTCACTCACTCACTCACCACTCACTCACAGCACACTCACCACTCACTCACAGCACACTCACCACTCACTCACCACTCACTCACCACTCACTCACCACACACTCACAGCACACTCACCACTCACTCACCACTCACTCACAGCACACTCACTCACTCACTCACCACTCACTCACCCCTCACCACTCACTCACTCACTCACCACTCACTCACTCACCACTCACTCACCACTCACTCACTCACCACTCACTCACCATTCACTCACCACTCACTCACCATTCACTCACCACTCACTCACTCACTCACCACTCACTCACAGCACACTCACCACTCACTCACCACTCACTCACCACTCACTCACAGCACACTCACCACTCACCATTCACTCACCACTCACTCACCACTCACTCACTACTCACCACTCACTCACCACTCACTCACTCACCACTCACTCACCATTCACTCACCACTCACTCACCATTCACTCACCACTCACTCACTCACTCACCACTCACTCACCACTCACTCACTCACTGACCACTCACTCACTCACCACTCACTCACAGCACACTCACCACTCACTCACAGCACACTCACCACTCACTCACCACTCACTCACCACACACTCACAGCACACTCACCACTCACTCACCACTCACTCACAGCACACTCACTCACTCACTCACCACTCACTCACTCACTCACCCCTCACCACTCACTCACTCACTCACCACTCACTCACTCACCACTCACTCACCACTCAACACTCACTCACCATTCACTCACCACTCACTCACCATTCACTCACCACTCACTCACCACTCACTCACTCACTCACCACTCACTCACAGCACACTCACCACTCACTCACCACTCACTCACCACTCACTCACTCACCACTCACTCACAGCACACTCACCACTCACTCACCACTCACTCACCACTCACCACTCACTCACCACTCACTCACCACTCACAGCACACTCACCACTCACTCACCACTCACTCACAGCGAGCCCCCCACCTGCATCCACTGGCGGTCCGTGCTGGCCGTCTCCCCCCCCTCGTCCCCCCCCTCCTCCCCCTCCTCCCCCCCCTCTCCGTGTTGAGTCTCCGCCATCTCCTCCGCGTCTCTGCCACCTGGGTGACGGTGACCCTGCAGGGGAAGAGATTCACGGACTCAGGTCGCCTACCTCGACTACCTCCACTATCTAGACTACCTAGACTACCTCCACTACCTAGACTACCTAGACTACCACGACTACCTAGACTACCTAGACTACCTCCACTACCTAGACTACCTAGACTACCACGACTACCTAGACTACCTAGACTACCTCCACTACCTAGACTACCTAGACTACCACGACTACCTAGACTATGTAGACTACCTCCACTACCTCCACTACCTAGACTACCTAGACTACCTCCACTACCTAGACTACCTCCACTACCTAGACTACCTAGACTACCACGACTACCTAGACTACCTAGACTACCTCCACTACCTAGACTACCTAGACTACCACGACTACCTAGACTACCTAGACTACCTCCACTACTTAGACTACCTAGACTACCTCCACTACCTAGACTACCTCCACTACCTAGACTACCTAGACTACCTAGACTACCTCCACTACCTAGACTACCTAGACTACCACGACTACCTAGACTACCTAGACTACCTAGACTACCTCCACTATTTAGACTACCTAGACTACCTAGACTACCACGACTACCTCCACTACCTCCACTATCTAGACTACCTAGACTACCTCCACTACCTAGACTACCTCCACTACCTAGACTACCTAGACTACCTCCACTACCTAGACTACCTAGACTACCTAGACTACCTCCACTACCTAGACTACCTCCACTACCTAGACTACCTAGACTACCTCCACTATCTAGACTACCTAGACTACCTCCACTACCTAGACTACCTCCACTAGACTACCTCCACTACCTAGACTACCTAGACTACCTCCACTACCTAGACTACCTCCACTACCTGGACTACCTAGACTACCTAGACAACCTCCACTACCTAGACTACCTCCACTACCTAGACTACCTCCACTACCTAGACTACCTAGACTACCTCCACTACCTAGACTACCTAGACTACCTCCACTACCTAGACTACCTCCACTACCTAGACTACCTAGACTACCTCCACTACCTAGACTACCTCCACTACCTAGACTACCTCCACTACCTAGACTACCTAGACTACCTCCACTACCTAGACTACCTCCACTACCTGGATTACCTAGACTACCTAGACAACCTCCACTACCTAGACTACCTCCACTACCTAGACTACCTCCACTACCTAGACTACCTAGACTACCTCCACTACCTAGACTACCTAGACTACCTCCACTACCTAGACTACCTCCACTACCTAGACTACCTAGACTACCTCCACTACCTAGACTACCTCCACTACCTAGACTACCTAGACTACCTCCACTACCTAGACTACCTAGACTACCTCCACTACCTAGACTAGACTACCTAGACTACCTCCACTATCTAGACTACCTAGACTACCACGACTACCTAGACTACCTAGACTACCTCCACTACCTCCACTACCTAGACTACCTAGACTACCTCCACTACGTAGACTACCTAGACTACCTCCACTACCTAGACTACCTCCACTACCTAGACTACCTAGACTACCTCCACTACCTAGACTACCTAGACTACCTCCACTACCTAGACTACCTAGACTACCACGACTACCTAGACTACCTAGACTACCTCCACTATCTAGACTACCTAGACTACCTAGACTACCACGACTACCTAGACTACCTAGACTACCTCCACTACCTAGACTACCTAGACTACCTAGACTACCTCCACTACCTAGACTACCTCCACTACCTAGACTACCTAGACTACCACGACTACCTAGACTACCTAGACTACCTAGACTACCTCCACTATCTAGACTACCTAGACTACCTAGACTACCACGACTACCTAGACTACCTAGACTACCTCCACTACCTCCACTATCTAGACTACCTAGACTACCTCCACTACCTAGACTACCTCCACTAGACTACCTCCACTACCTAGACTACCTAGACTACCTCCACTACCTAGACTACCTCCACTACCTGGACTACCTAGACTACCTAGAATACCTCCACTACCTAGACTACCTCCACTACCTAGACTACCTCCACTACCTAGACTACCTAGACTACCTCCACTACCTAGACTACCTCCACTACCTAGACTACCTAGACTACCTCCACTACCTAGACTACCTAGACTACCTCCACTACCTAGACTACCTCCACTACCTAGACTACCTAGACTACCACGACTACCTAGACTACCTAGACTACCTCCACTATCTAGACTACCTAGACTACCTAGACTACCACGACTACCTAGACTACCTCCACTACCTCCACTATCTAGACTACCTAGACTACCTCCACTACCTAGACTACCTCCACTAGACTACCTCCACTACCTAGACTACCTAGACTACCTCCACTACCTAGACTACCTCCACTACCTAGACTACCTAGACTACCTCCACTACCTAGACTACCTCCACTACCTCCACTATCTAGACTACCTAGACTACCTCCACTACCTAGACTACCTCCACTACCTAGACTACCTAGACCACCTAGACTACCTCCAATACCTAGACTACCTAGACTACCTCCAGTACCTAGACTACCTAGACTACCTCCACTACCTCCACTATCTAGACTACCTAGACTACCTCCACTACCTAGACTACCTCCACTACCTAGACTACCTAGACTACCTCCACTACCTAGACTACCTCCACTACCTAGACTACCTAGACTACCTCCACTACCTAGACTACCTCCACTACCTAGACTACCTAGACTACCTCCACTACCTAGACTACCTCCACTACCTAGATTACCTAGACTACCACGACTACCTAGACTACCTCCACTACCTAGACTACCTAGACTACCTCCACTACCTAGACTACCTCCACTACCTCCACTATGTAGACTACCTAGACTACCTAGACTACCTCCACTACCTAGACTACCTAGACTACCTCGCCTACCTCCACTACCTAGACTACCACGACTACCTAGACTACCACGCCTACCTAGACTACCTAGACTACCACGCCTACCTCGCCTACCACGCCTACCTAGACTACCTAGACTACCACGCCTACCTAGACTACCACGACTACCACGACTACCTAGACTACCACGCCTACCTAGACTACCTAGACTACCACGACTACCACGACTACCTAGACTACCTAGACTACCACGCCTACCTAGACTACCTAGACTACCACGCCTACCTAGACTACCTAGACTACCATGCCTACCTAGACTACCTAGACTACCACGCCTACCTCGCCTACCACGCCTACCTCACTCATCATCATCGCAGGGGCAGCGGCGGCGGCTTGTGGCTCGGCCCGTCGGACAAAGACAGTCACCACGTCACTTGCTGTGATTTGTTACAGTGAGGGAAAAAAGTATTTGATCAGTCTATAATTTTAATGGTAGGTTTATATGAACAGTGAGAGACAGAATAACAACAAGAAAATCCAGAAAAACGCATGTCAAAAATGTAATAAATTGATTTGCATTTTAATGAGGGAAATAAGTATTTGACCCCCTCTCAATCAGAAAGATGTCTGGCTCTCAGGTGTCTTTTATACAGGTAACGAGCTGAGATTAGGAGCACACTCTTAAAGGGAGTGCTCCTAATCTCAGCTTGTTACCTGTATAAAAGACACCTGTCCACAGAAGCAATAAATCAATCAGATTCCAAACTCTCTACCATGGCCAAGACCAAAGAGCTCTCCAAGGATGTCAGGGACAAGATTGTAGACCTACACAAGGCTGGAATGGGCTACAATACCATTGCCAAGCAGCTTGGTGAGAAGGTGACAACAGTTGGTGCGATTATTCGCAAATGGAAGAAACACAAAAGAACTGTCAATCTCCCTCGGCCTGGGGCTCCATGCAAGATCTCACCTCGTGGAGTTGCAATGATCATGAGAACGGTGAAGAATCAGCCCAGAACTACACGGGAGGATCTTGTCAATGATCTCAAGGCAGCTAGGAACATAGTCACCAAGAAAACAATTGGTAACACACTACGCCGTGAAGGACTGAAATCCTGCAGCGCCCGCAAGGTCCCCCTGCTCAAGAAAGCACATATACATGCCCGTCTGAAGTTTGCCAATGAACATCTGAATGATTCAGAGGACAACGGGGTGAAAGTGTTGTGGTCAGATGAGACCAAAATGGAGCTCTTTGGCTTTAACTCAACTCGCTGTGTTTGGAGGAGGAGGAATGTTGCCTATGACCCCAAGAACACCATCCCCACCGTCAAACATGGAGGTGGAAACATTATGCTTTGGGGGTGTTTTTCTGCTAAGGGGACAGGACAACTTCACCGCATCAAAGGGATGATGGACGGGGCCATGTACCATCAAATCTTGTGTGAGAACCTCCTTCCCTCAGCCAGGGCATTGAAAATGGGTCGTGGATGGGTATTCCAGCATGACAATGACCCAAAACACACGGCCAAAGCAACAAAGGAGTGGCTCAAGAAGAAGCACATTAAGGTCCTGGAGTGGCCTAGCCAGTCTCCAGACCTTAATCCCATAGAAAATCTGTGGAGGGAGCTGAAGGTTCGAGTTGCCAAACGTCAGTCTCGAAGTCTTGATGACTTGGAGAAGATCTGCAAAAAGGAGTGGGACAAAATCCCTCCTGAGATGTGTGCAAACCTGGTGGCCAACTACAAGAAACGTCTGACCTCTGTGATTACCAACAAGGGTTTTGCCACCAAGTACTAAGTCATGTTTTGCAGAGGGGTCAAATACTTATGTCCCTCATTAAAATGCAAATAAATGTATAACATTTTTGACATGCGTTTTTCTGGATTTTGTTGTTGTTATTCTGTCTCTCACTGTTCAAATAAACCTACCATTAACATTATAGACTGATAATTTCTTCGTCAGTGGGCAAACGTACAACACCAGCAGGGGATCAAAT